TACGAGTGTTTCTGATCTTGTATTCCATTATCTTTATTTACGTAATGACATTTTGCTCATATTTGTATGCACCCAGATACTAAATATGGTAAAATATACTAAATGAATGAAATTACGAAATATTTATAGAATTGCTATATTATATATATATATATTGTGTGTGTGTGTGTGTGTGTGTGTGTGTGTGTGTGTGTGTGTGTGTGTGTGTGTGTGTGTGTGTGGTGTGTGTGTGTGTGTGTGTGTGTAAAGAAAATTCATACCCAAGGGTTACAACATCTAGCAAATTCATGTACGAGGCCAAACAAGAGATATGGTTCAACATACCCTACTAAACACGTTTGACCAGAGTAGTTGGGCAGACCTTTGGAACATCCTAAATTGTGGTATCACAAAGAAACTACAGACAATTTTCTATCAAAAGAGGAAACAAAGCATTGTCACAGTCACTTCACTTCCATTGCTAGTATATGTTATTTAAAGCAAAAGAAAAGTACTATATATAAGAATGTTTTTAAAGAAATTGTCCCCATCAACACATGCAGAAATAATACGTTGTGCCCAGGGCTAAAATTCTACAGAAATTCGTCTGCTAAACGGAAACAAAAGATGACCGAAAGATGTTGACGTCACTACAGAATATTTTTCCGTCAACTGTATTTTTATTTTTATGACATCAGATCGTTTGATGCAAGTACTTATATTTTCTCACGCTTACATAAATTACACTTAAAAATTGCTAAATCCATCCTGGTATGAACTAATATGATGTGGTAGAATGAAAGTCATCACGGCGGAAATTTCATCCAGTGTCACTTCAGCTGGGTCTTCCAACTGGGGATCACCAAAGGCAGAGCTACAGTCCCATAGAGTGACTTTACACCTTCATCCCTGCAGGACACTATAAATAGTTGTATAATTTTTAGATAAATCAAGTTTACAGGTTCAATGTCACATTTTTAAAAAGTTATACATCTAAAGTATTTTCTATAAAGAGGTTTAGGTGTACTTTATGTTGCATGTTGTTACATTATTGGTTAAATAATGTATCTATTTTATATTGTGATGTTATACTGTTTGGGAGATAGATGAGAACATTCCCGACAATGGGTAATTATGTAACAACACTGAGAGGACTCGTCAGTATAGGGGGGAAAGGGCAATTAGATCAAATGGAGTCTACCAATACCTGTACGGAAGTAATTGAAGAAATTCACAAATTCCATATTTACTTCTCTTCCAACAACAGGGAATCCTATTCAAAATCACCGACAAGTACGTATGTAATAGTTACAAAGCAAAATAAATGTGCTAGACATCAAAGGTCATATAGCACTATAACAAGGTGAAAAGAGTAAAGAGAGGGGTTACTTGAGGATTAAAGGTGCGACACGTCAAAACGTCGTATAGTCGGTCAGTATAATCTGTTAATGAAAGGGGCAAAGAGGGGTGAGGGTAGAGAGGGTGAGTAAGTGGGTTATTGTAGGGGTTGATAATGGTTAAAGTTATCAAAGGAAGAAGTGTGGGATTCTGTAAGGATGTCCGTAGGGTAAGGTAAGGATTAGCGAAAGGAGAAGGGAGTTTAAGGCGTCGGATCTTCGGTGGCCAATCACAGCTGCCGTTACAGGCGGCTCTTAGGGTATCTTGACCAATCACAAGCCGTAAATGCTAATCAGCTGATTTCGTAAACACAACGCTATGTCCAGCCCGTGGCATGATAGAACTTTTCAACAAAATTGGTATTATTGAAAATGCAACCCCACACCTAATTTAAAGAATCTGAGCTTACCCAGTGGTAGTACACATCATTCTAAGAATTTGCCTCTATACCATTTTCTGCGCAAATTGATAACGGTGTTAGAGAAGGTATAAAATGCACGATTTCTAGGAGCCGCAGTAAGCTTACGCCTCCAACGCCGCGACAAATGATAAAAAGTCGTTGAGTGACGGAAAATCGGACGAATTTGCTACGGATGACGTAGGCAAGGGAAATCATGTGAGCCAATTAGATTCGAGTGTGAACGTGATGTGAACATAGACACTCAGTAGAACCAATCAGATATGGAATAGGCCATCACGTGGCAAAAGAAATGTGTCATTATACTATGCTTGCTAGTATTGTACCGATATTTCTCGAAATTACCCCCAAATTAACTGATATGTATCATGCCCTCCCCAGCTATCGGGACCGATATCGTAGTTATACTTCGTTTGCGAAGAAAATGAGTGCTAGATTCGCTCGGAGCACGACGAAAGCTATTACTAAATAATTCTATTCACCCAAAAAACGGTGTGTGGTTGCATCTATCGGGAAAAGCAAATCACAGTTATGTTGGAATACTACACTTGTTGCTTTATCTAGTAGTCCGCAATTGGTTTATGTACACCCAATGACACTATAATTGAGTAAAATAGAAAACGTAATGTTGCATTAACTGGTCTAGGGCTGTCTAGGGCTGAAAAATGTCATTTATATTTCGCCGTAACTCCCTAATAATCCAGTCATTTTGGAATTACACGAGATTAATTGCAAAAGAAGCTTTTTCATTAAAAACTGGTTGAATGTAACTTAAACAAAAACATACTAAAAGCCTCTAAAGATTAAAGTACGGGGACACCTTCGAAAAGGGTTTTACATTTATTCACGATGCCATACTGCTTAGAAACGAGGTGGAAAACCGGAAATGTTGGTTTTGCACAATTTGATTAAGAAAACTAAACAGCAGCTGTTAATAGAATTAATTCAATGCATTTGCACCGAGTTTTGGACTGAACATTGAACATTTTTTGTTATTTACTCTATACATAAGTTATATACAATGCTGCATTAGTCAGTTATCGTCAGAGTCATCAGTCATAGTCTTGGGTGGGATTTGTGCAGGCTGAACCCTTGCACTGGCCACAGATTAGAGAACACTGCATGCCATTCCTCCTACAGGTGTACCTCATGGTATTGCAATCCGACGGACAGTTACGACGTATTATCTACAGCAGAGATTGTGGGGCTGGCGGCAAGTCACTCGTAACTGGAATGATTAGAGTATCATCGCATTTCCATCCCCAATCCTCTATCATTGGTGAATCCTCTCCTTGCCACTGCTTTACCTGGAGATAGACACGCAGACTGTGGAATCGTGCCGCTGCAGCAGCTGGTGGGACATTCTGTGGCTGGACATGCGAGGTCTTCGATGCAAACTTTTCATAGTATCGTTGATACCTCAACTTGTTAAGACTGGTGCCTGCTTTACCACCAAAGAGCATGACAAGTGCCTTTTCATCTGCAGTGACAACGTCAGATGCAGAGGTATGGAGTAGGCTAAAGCCAAACACTTTGGCCTGCTCCATAAAGTGCATTCTCCAACTCCAACTACCAACTCCATGTAGGCGTGAAGTGGTGTCGCAGTAGGTTCCAGCGTGCAGAAAAAAGAGATTCCTGCATACTTCGTCACCTAGTTGATGTTTAATATCCATATGCCAGACACGGTGTACTCTTGAGCGTGGCTCTTAGTAAGTAGTCATATTCTTGAGTATAAAAACGCAAGAGGACCAGTAAGTCTGTGTCGTCCCCAACAAGAACTGTGGGTTTAGTTTTGCCAGATTCAATAGAAGTTTTTACGATCAGAAGATCAGCATCACCATCAGCATGGTGAGTTACACAACCTGCATTTTGTGCAGGAAGCGTTGCTTGCTTTGGGGATTCGAGAAATGTATCCCGGTTTCTATGAAGGTGATAGTTGCATCTGCTGTGTCATTGCCATCAAAGACTACCATCACTCTTCCATATTTCCGGCAGACATATGTACAGTATAAATCGCAGAGCTCTTTGCACATCAGCGAACCTCTTGGCAATGGCTCTCGGTGGAGAACACCTCCATCCAACGCACACTGCACATCTCCCTGAGGTTGTGACTTGGCCTCCAGTGTAAGTCTTGAGCACATTGCATCAGCTAAAGCTGGCTGTTGGGATTAGCTTAACGTGAGTGATATGTAGGATAGAGTGGTTGGATAAACGCACAGGTCATATTGAAATAATTCTTCGAGCTGAGTATCATCACAGGCGATGATTAGCTGCTGAAATAAAAGCTGAGGGTCAACTTGAACGTCCTCGCTGCCAATCTTTATAGAAGGTTTGGATGCTGTAGTAACTGCCTGGGCATTTCGTGTGAATGCATACTCTGTTGCAGTCTTCATCTTCATGGAGGACAGGATCTTTTCTCCGACGCTCCTGGCTGTGTCGACATTAACATTGCTATTCGCCTCTATACCGTTCATGACATTCTTCGGGTTTTTGTCGGCATCTTGAGAGAAACGATCATGAGCAGCTACAGCATCAAGGATGGTCAAGGTGTCTGTCATATCTCTTGCTTGCCTTGCATTGGACACATCCTTGTTTTATTCGCCGGAATTAAACTGCACTTTTGTCAGCTCTTGCAAGTGTTGTTTGCTTCGGTAAAGGCGGGCATGGATAATAGCCACATTTAATTCAAACATCGAAATTTCGTGAAATTCATTCCCCATAATGGTTTAATGTCTAGTATCATGTTCTCAGCAGTCAAAATATAAACATTTTCTAGACTGACTCTCACGTACGGTAATAGTTATAGTTTTTGGTGTTTATTTTTATATGAATATTACACAAATCACATCAGTAAGATAGATTACTGAATTTATAAACGGAAGTAGTTTCTTTGGTTTTCTTTTATTCGAATTAATAATATACCTGTTGATTTCCCAATTGAAAATGAGCTCACAACGCTAAATGACTAAAACCAGTACACGTTTTGCATGGTTGGCATTTTCCTGGTGATGAAGAAGCTTTAGTGAATGTTATTTATCTTATATTGGGTATAATAGTGAACTTGCCTGGGCTACAAACTCCCAAGACTCGTTTCTGTCCGCTAGGTTATGCTGCACGTGGAAAAAGACAGCGAAAAACAGACACAGCCTCGTTCTCACGAAGCATCATACAGGATTCCAATTAAACTCGTTTTTGGTCAATTTCC